CATACATCAAGATGTAACTTACGTATATTAAGATGTAACTCGCGCAGAAAAGATGTAACTTCATGATATATTATCAAATGTAAATTGAAGAATCAAAATAAACAAACTCAATGCATTAAAAGTGACAAAAAAATATATTATTAAAAAATGTGTGCATACAAAAAATATTACAAAAAAGTGTATGGATATTAAAAGCATGTTATAAAAAATGTTTATGAATATAAAAAAATATTACAGAAACAAAAATAGTGTATGAACATGAGATGCAATATACTTAATTTATTTAGATTAATAAATTTTTTGTTATGTATTGATAAAGAATAAAAAATAGATTCAATTATGATTTAAGATGAAGGAAAAGTAGGATTGCAATTAAATTTTTAGTACTGTAATTTGATGGAAAAAGAAAAGAATTGAACAAAAGAAAAATAAATAAATAAAAGAAAAGGAAAGGGAAATTACAAAGCTGCGGGGAAAGGAAGAGGGAAAAGGAAAGTCACGTAACTTCCCCTTAAAAGTGGGATCGGCACACCATGCGGAAGGTGGGCCGATCCCACAGTATAATTTGTGAATTGATGTAGGTACAAACATAAGCTTTGTAGAAGAGCTTATTAGAAATGTTAAGCAATTTGTATGTGTTAAGTTACATTTCTGAATCTCTGTTTTTATATTATTTTTATGCACCTAAATTTTAAGCTTAATTGATCAAGTTTGTTACCTTTTTTTACAGATTCAAAAAATTACAGAAATTTTCAGTTAACATGAAGGAATTAATATATGGGTGGAAGTTGGAAATTTTGGAATGTTTAGACTTGAAATGTTGCTTCCTATTGGCTTCCGGAAGACGTCTGTGTTATTGCCTGAGGCTTTTCCCTTGAGATGCCTATCTCACCTCCTTTCCCCTTTCCATACCCACGGGGCGGTAAGCTTCCAAAGCTCCTTCCTTCAGCTGGGTGAGCCTTCGCTTTTTGGATCGTCTTCTGCCCAATCCGATACCCCCCGGGTTTTGGTTCCCATTGGGTTTTGACAACATTAGAGAACTATTTGGCATAAGGTGGATCTTGGTCTCATAAAGAAGAACCCCATATGTTGCCTTGGTTTTAAGTAAA